ACCTTTCTCATCTATTTCATTGAAATAATCTTAATACTGGTATCCTTACTGCTATTCATTCTTCACAAGGAGGTTATTTTCCAGGAAATGGCCTTACAGCAGCTTGAATTTAGAATAAAATCTACTCCTTAGCATAGCTAACAAGGACATCCATGATCTGGCCTTTGACTGTTGCCCAGCTTCATCTCACACCCTTTTCCTTCTTTTACGCTACATGTCAGCTACAATGGCTTAAACCCAGTTTCTTTATTTGAAATTTGTCAGACACACAAAGTTGTTCCTCCCCCTTTCCCTGCCCACAGGGCGTCACAGGGTTTTTGCACAAGCTGTCTCCCTGCACTGTTGGTGAGGCTAAGTCCTTTTTGTCCTTCAGGTATCCACTTAAATATACCTTAGTGAGGTTGTCCACATTATGTGACAGAGATACCATGATATAAAAATGTAGAAGAAGAGTAAATTAAAGTAAGGAAATTAGTAGTCAGGAATGATTTGGGGGAAAATGAATTGGAATGCAAACCAAATGTAATCATAGAGCTGATGCCCAGCTTTGGAAGGCAACTTTATTGAACAATAATGGAAAACACACTTGGAAAGATCAGGTATATCCATGTTAAGAGGAACCCTGGGAGTCAGGCAGCAGGAGAGTTTACATATGACATGGAGTAAGAGCAAAAGGGCAGAAGAGGAAGGGTGATTGGATGAGGAACACATGGGCTAAAGAAGATGAGGCTGATGGCAGTGTATCGGGCGGCCTAGAGGTTAAGAGGAATCAGGAAGGTCAGTTTAGAGGCTCTTGTAATCCAGGTGTGAGATGATGAGGGGCTGGATGAGGGTGGTAGCAGTCAGGATGCAGAGGCTATGGATTTCAAAGGACAGTTTGGCAGGACCTGATGACTGATGGGATGTAAGGAATTAAGAGGAAAAAAAAGTCAAAGTGTACCCCTCCCCCCCCCAGAATTTTGTGTCTGGAAGACTGAAGGGTGAGGAAGTGAGAAGATAAGAACTTCATTATATTTACAGTTTGATTTGGAGGTAATAACAAATTATATGGGAGAAGAAGTGGGAAGTGAGAACGTTTTGTCTTCAAAGGAGAGGATCAACCTAGAGATGTGGTGATAGGCCCCAGTGTCCCAGAAGCTAAGGGTGCCCCACTTTCCTTTAAAGAGTCAGCAGCCAGACAGACTGAAACCATAGTGTCTGGCCTTGGAATATGGGTTGTAAAGTCCAGGAATCTCATGGTGCTCATCTATTTCTTGACTTCCTTTTTCTGTGAGACTATAACAAAGACTTTGCTGAGCATGACAAGAGATAAGGGAAGGTCATGTTTTGGAATCCTCTTGCTGTGGTGTTCTAACATATTGGGCCTATAAAACCCTCAGTGTGTTTTTGCCCCAAGTACTTTTCTTATTTTTTAAACCCATATGTACTTTGGAGTCAATTTAATCCATATGTTTCTGATTAATTTATGCTTAGCTCATCAAAATGTTGTTTTAAGAAAAGCTTATAAAAAAACAGTCATGCTTCACCAGCCACTGATGAAATCAACTCCAGAAGACTGTAGCTTAGTCAGAAAATCAGACAGACTGAGGGTCCAGTGGGTTTCAAAATCTGGAAACTCATTGTTATGTCCACAGTGAAATTGAGTATGTTCAACACTTTGGGGGGAAAATCTCAGTATTTTGTCTTTATACATGTGTGTGTTTGTTTTTTTTTTAAATTTCTGGATGTATTGATTTGTTCTTTGGATTAACTATGATTGCTTTACTTAGTCATTCAGCCAGCTTCCAGGTTGCTATTCATACAGCAAAGTTGGGAGGAGGCTGAGAGATGGCACAAAATGGTGAGTCCATTTCCACGGTGTTTATATGCAGTTGCATTTTTTACATTCGAAAGGTGTTTTTGCAGTGTAGGCCATGATAAATTTTATAGAAAATTTATATATTTCATTTACTTAGGTCAAAAAGGTGGAATTATACATGTGTCTCCATCACTGTATTCAAGAATTAGAAACAAAATGGTTTTAAAACTAATTCATTATTTGAGATTACCAGTATTTCAGAAAAATCCTTAAAGATAAATAATGACTATGTCCCAGGGTTAGAATTTAGATAATTTTTTTTCTAATACCAGAACATTTGCATGGATATCATAAAGAAGCTTCAACCAAATACCATCTTGTCTATTTTATTTGAACATCCCTATCACATCACTAATAACTGAAAATTAATTCTACCTTTCCGCCTTCCCTTCTCTGCCCTTTTTGCTGATATTGTTTCATATGCTTGCTCCCTCAGTGTTGTTTATAAACAATGCTCGTTAAAAATTCTTGTTAAAAATAAAACATGATTTCATTGTAGCTTATCTTTTTCTTCTGCTTTTACTCCTCACAGACTCTTTGAGGGATCTCAACGACTCCAAGTCTTCATGCATATCTGTGAACTAGACATTAAAATTTATATTCAGACTTCAGTCCATTCCCTCATGTTCTAGACTGGTGTGTACAAATACATTCATTTAAGTGTCCAATAAAAAATGGACAAGCCCCAAACAAAGCTCAACTTCTTTTGTCAATTTCCTTTTTCTTCTCCTCCTTCTTGTCCTGTAATTCCTATTCTGGCTTAGAGTACCACTGTCTACCTTGTGACCCAAACTGAGTACATAGATGTCAGCCAACATTCTTTCCTCTTGTTTACTGCCAACACCTAATCAGGTACAAACCTTCCAACTCTATCTCTTAAATTCACCTTTTTCCACTTTTTTCTACCTCCATGGCCACAACCAGGAGGCAAGAGGCTCCCGGTTAATAGACTTCTGGGTCTTGCTCTTCTCCCAGGAAATCTCAGTGCTGACCTGCCACCATTCCAAAATAAAAATATGGTCATTTTGCTCAGGTGCTTCAAACCTTTAGTGTTTCCTTTTTTTCTATATAGTGAAATCAAAACCATTTTGTCTTTCTAAGATACAATATGATCTTCCACCACTTACCTCTTCAAGTTCATTGGCTTCAGTTTTTACCTTCTCACACCAAATTCAGCCATACTAGATTTCAAGTTTAAGTTTTTCAAACTCACCATTTTCTTTTTAACCCATGCTTTTACAGTGTCCTTTTGTTTGGAATATTCATCTTCTGTATCTTTGCCTGGATCACATCTATGTATCCTTAGGTCTGGATTTAAACATAACTTCTTCCAAAAAGCCTTTTGCTTTTCTTACCTCTATATTCTGTAGTTGCCTCTGTTCTTTTTCTATCATAATATTCACAATACTTTATTTCATTTTAACTGCTTGCCTATCATAAACTCCATATGAATATAAACTCTTTGAAGGCAAATTTTTTTTACCATCCTTACTTGCCACTAAATAACAACTGTAGCACACTCAACACCTGGCACAAAAGATTTTCAATAAATATTTGTTGAACAGATGAGTAAAAAGCTTTCCATATCTCTATACTATCACACACAGTATGTCTTCTGTCTTGACTGCCTTTCTTTGTATTGTTTGATAGTGAATGCCTACCTTTGCTTTGACAATTCATTAACATCCCACAGAACTAGTTTCTACAACACATGCTCTGGGAAACGCTGAGTCCAACTATCTCCTTTGACACAACAGGAAACTGAAGCTGAGATAAATAAAGTGACTTACTGAAGGTCACACAGCTGGCTGTAATGGGGAACCAGAATGCAATGTATTCCCTGCTTTGCCATAATTTTCTAGCCAGTGATAACTCGGTTTCATTTGTAAAATAAAAGACTTGCCATTTTTTAATGACATCAAATCACTTTTTCATTTATTATTTGCTAACAAGGACACATTTTGTCAACAATTTCTGGTTCATCCAATAACGCAATAAAAGACAGTAAAGGATGAGTACACATATGCCATTGATAATGTGAGAATGAGAACATTAACAATAGGATGAAGTGGGCTGCATCATCTGAGTAAACTTTTCCACAGTAATAAAATGATCAGTCCTGCACATCATCAGAGTTTGGAGTCTCTCATTGGGAATTTGGTATTTATTTTAACCAACACTTTAAAAAAAATATGTTGCTCCTCCCTGAAGATGTAAAAATTCACCATTTATTAAGTCTTCTTGGCTGAGTCGAGGATTGTAGCATTCACATTCTCACATGCAAAATATTTCCTAATCCCAGCAAACGTTTCACATCTGCTCTGGGTAACTGGCCAAAAAAACAAGAAATAGAGGCATTCTTAGAGGATCTTTGTTGATCGCCAGCCAGTCTCCTTGACATTGGAGAAGAGCTACAGTGAAAGGGACTCCTCCCCCACCCTCTCCCTTCTCCCCAAGTATTTCTTCTCTTGGTTCCTTCATGACACTTTCTGCATGGAAAGCACACCCCTCTATGCTAATATGCAGGAACCAGGCCAGATTTCCAGTTGTGTTTTTAGTTCTGTCTACTCTTTCCACACCCATTGGAAAGCTAAGAACAGATCTGTGTGACTTCCAGCTGTGTCTTGGCTACCCTAGTCTCACTTCTACCACATGGAAATTCTTCACCCCTTATAATCAAACTTAACTCCAACACTTAATAAACACTCAAGTGGTGATTTGCGAAGATCCAATTAATAGCATATTCATTTTCTTGTTCAGCTCCTATTTACTGGTTGTATTTTCTATGGTAGTCTCAACTTCACAGTCTTATTCTGTTGTGTTTTTGGCTAATCTATCTGAACACATGAGACCTTTGTCTGTCTCTGGAGTGAAGAGAAGTGGAGTTGTCCCAAAGATCATTCATACCAGAAATGGCTTGGTGTGCTTTCATTGTGATCCGACTTCCTCTATTTATTGGAAGCTAATGTTCAACTAGTGATGAATGTCTTAGCTTCTGGGCCATTTTCATTACTATCACATGGTTTCCAGGCCTAAGTTTAAGTGGCAAAGTGAGAACATTGCTGATAGTCTTAGAAGTGGGTGAAGCATTGGTGCAGAAGGGAAGATTTTAAAACAGAACATATTTGGTAGCAGAAGATGTAAAAATTCACCATTTATTAAGTCTTCTTGGCTGAGTCGAGGATTGTAGCATTCACATTCTCACATGCAAAATATTTCCTAATCCCAGCAAACGTTTCACATCTGCTCTGGGTAACTGGCCAAAAAAACAAGAAATAGAGGCATTCTTAGAGGATCTTTGTTGATCGCCAGCCAGTCTCCTTGACATTGGAGAAGAGCTACAGTGAAAGGGACTCCTCCCCCACCCTCTCCCTTCTCCCCAAGTATTTCTTCTCTTGGTTCCTTCATGACACTTTCTGCATGGAAAGCACACCCCTCTATGCTAATATGCAGGAACCAGGCCAGATTTCCAGTTGTGTTTTTAGTTCTGTCTACTCTTTCCACACCCATTGGAAAGCTAAGAACAGATCTGTGTGACTTCCAGCTGTGTCTTGGCTACCCTAGTCTCACTTCTACCACATGGAAATTCTTCACCCCTTATAATCAAACTTAACTCCAACACTTAATAAACACTCAAGTGGTGATTTGCGAAGATCCAATTAATAGCATATTCATTTTCTTGTTCAGCTCCTATTTACTGGTTGTATTTTCTATGGTAGTCTCAACTTCACAGTCTTATTCTGTTGTGTTTTTGGCTAATCTATCTGAACACATGAGACCTTTGTCTGTCTCTGGAGTGAAGAGAAGTGGAGTTGTCCCAAAGATCATTCATACCAGAAATGGCTTGGTGTGCTTTCATTGTGATCCGACTTCCTCTATTTATTGGAAGCTAATGTTCAACTAGTGATGAATATCTTAGCTTCTGGGCCATTTTCATTACTATCACATGGTTTCCAGGCCTAAGTTTAAGTGGCAAAGTGAGAACATTGCTGATAGTCTTAGAAGTGGGTGAAGCATTGGTGCAGAAGGGAAGATTTTAAAACAGAACATATTTGGTAGCAAGTGACAGAAAATCTAACATATATTGGTTAAAACCTAACTCAGAATAAAGCCAAGAAGAAGATGTACTGGCTTAGAACTGAAAGGATCAGAGGTAGGTTGGCTTCAGGCATAGCTGGATCTGGGATTGACAATGCCATCAGTATTATGTCTCCCACTATCATCTCTGTTTCCTTTTGTGTTGGCTTCATTTTCAATCAGATTCTCCCTTTATAGTGGCCAGTACCTTTATGAGTATATTTTATTCTTTCAGGAACCTCAGTAGTTGGTTTTTCCAACAAAAGTAGTGAGATTAACTGATTGACATGCTTTCCCTGAACTAATAATAGGGACTCTGTGTGGAACATGTTGATTAATCAGACCTATGTCATATACCTCCCACAAGTCACATGGAATAAGAATAAGGTCAAGATGGTGTCCACAGGATTATCAGAATCTTACTACCACGAGAAAGGAGGAAATATTGTTGACAGAATAAGAACTCATCTCCATTAAGGTCTCATAACTAGCTGTACTGAGATATAGTCCCACCTTAAAAAAAAGAACAAACCCTGTAGGAAAAGGCAAGAAATAAAAATATCCTGAGGGAAAGACTTAAAGTCTTTTTATATGACTGTTGTAGTTGAAGATGAACCTGGTAGTGTAATTGATGATAGAGTTGCTTACCAAAAGCTAATCATTGCTTGGAAATGAGGTGACTGTGCTCGCAGGTGGATTTGCAGGGGAGTGAAATCATGTTTGTGGACAGAGATATAGTCTGGCATCACCTGTGAGAACAAAGAATAATAATGACCTATTTTGAAAGAAAACCACCTTTATTTCCTCTATTTAATTTTAGTTGTGCAAAGGTACTCCTGGGGATTTCCAGGGGGATATGGTGAGAGCCAAGTGACTATTAACGTGTTTCCTGAGACTATGTGGAAGTAAGACCCATAGTCTGCCTCTGCCGAGGACATCAGGAAATTGCATCCAACATCCATCCTCATCATGGAAGAAAGGGTTGGGGGAAGGGGCAGGTCCTGATAGTGATACATGTGGGAGACAGAGAGGCTGACCAGCGTGTGTCTCACCTTTTCTCCACCCTCTAGTCTTTGTGTAAGTGGGCAATGTGGCTACAATGGGTTGGAAGTAAAGCAGCGGTGGGCCCCAGGAGGGCTCTCTCCAGCCTATATATGGGGATGTGCTTGGAGGTCTTGGTGCTTAGGTCTCTGGTGGCTGCCGAGCTCTGTGCTCAAGTGATGAACTAATGTTGTGGCTGTGTGTCTTGGGAATTTTAGCCACATGCAGTCTTGCAAATGCAGCTTTTTTTCTCTGCTCTATTGTTTTTTTCCTGGTTCTGAAGACTTGTTTTTTTTTTTTATTTTGCCATCTTTGTACTCAAGGACAGACTCACCCCCTGGGCTGCTGGAAGACATTTCACCCCTTGAAAAATAACTGTGTTGGACCTAACTAAGTTTATTAAAGTCTGACCTGGAAGTATGGTCCCAAGTACTCTCAAGGCTGGGAAGGGACTGAGGGAAACCTAAGCCTCATGTATTGAAATGGAATCTGTCGTTGTCATAGGGAACCTTCATTATAGGAAGGAGCCCTACACAGAGGCAGTGCTTTACCAGCAGAGGCTGCAGGGAGATGAGCAGGCTCCTTCATTCACTGCGTCCTCAGATGGAATGAGGAACCACGGGGCCTCCACCCACCAGGCCTTCCCCTTTCTTCAGCTCCTTCCTTTGGCTGGGCCTGGGCTTGTCCCTAACTGCTTCCTTTGTTCCATTTCTTCTCTCTCGTCTGCCCTCAGGCCTATGTGTCTGGAACAAGCTCTCCCTTGCAGTTTGCCAGTCTAACAGCTCCTTTGCTGACCTGTCTTCAATATTTTATCTTTGGAGACATTCGACTGCATCTCTCCACTAAGGTCAGGGGTTTGCAAGGAGAGGGAGGTTCAGAGAAAGCTTCAAATTAGGGGAGGATGAAAAGAATTACTTCTTAAGCTTTGGAGCCACTCAGCTCCACACTACTTCACTCTGAGTTGTTTCTCTTAAGTGAATTAACAAAACTGTCATTCTGGACTTCTTAACCAATAATGATGACGCATATAGGAACAATAATCATTTCTGTAAGTTTCCAGCTAATTTCATATCCTTATCTCCTTTAATCCAAATGACTATTTTCATCTTACAGATAGGGAAATAGATTCAGAATAGTTCTATGTCTTGCTATAGACACACCACTTGGTAAATGGTCTTTCCATGGAAAACAAACTGTCTGTTAATAGCAGTAAATAGGATAGTGGCCAAAGGGGTGATTTCCTTAACCTAAGCTGATTCAGAGTTTGCTTGAAATCTGGAAGAGTTGCATAAGATTTTTATCTTTTAAAAATGTACTAGAGTTTAGGTCACCAAATTCCTTGCCTGCCATTTCATCTTCTATATCCTTTATCTGGACTCTGAGTATAAATGACAAACTCTCCTATGCCCCAGAACACCACCTGACTGCCACCTCACCCATCCTGCTTTCACTGGCTCCTGGTTTTACTTAAAATTCTCTCATCCATGTGCCAATCTCCCAACTTGTCCTTGCTCATTTTAGGGAAACAAACTGATACCAGCAAAATAGCAAAAGTTACTTACATATGTACTTTCTCCATGGCACCAGGATTGCCTTTCCATGTTTGCTCATTCTGTCATTCAATGCTAGGACTAGCAACCAAGGGATTTATTCGTATTTTCATTCTGTATTGCTCCTCACAGCAGGAAAGGGTATTCAGTAACAGCACGGGGCTTTTGAAACCTCCAGGTGGAAATGTGCTTTCTTTTCTTTTGTGTGGACAAGTAATTTCTGCTTGACTTTAAGTAAACATTTTATTTCATGTAAACCCCCCCCCCCAAACTTGTTCTGTTTAGAGAGATAGGGAGAAATGTGAGTCATGACATGCAGAAGAAACAATTTATGTGTGTTATTTTATAGAGCTTCATGGTTTGCCCAATAGTTGGAGACAAGCAAACGATTATCTAGTAAGACTGAGGGCTTGGCTTAATAGGTAAATACATGGAAATGAATCTCATGCTCTTGGCACTGTTTATATATCTACATGAAATCCATGGGGCAGTCCCACCAGCACTGAATAATTAAATCCCTTGCTTGTGTTACTTCACAGCTTCTTCAAGGCTTTGCCAAGAGTGAAAACTGAGACAACTACTGGTAGATTAAAATGCTGATTTGAGGAGGCCTGGAGATAGATGTGTTTCAAGGACAGAGACCGATTATGTAAAATGGTTTGACTGAATGTAAAAGAAAGGGTGTCTATACCCTAAAGTGAAATGGCAATTATCAGGAACAGTCCATCTTTTGCTTCTACGGGAGCTGGCAGTATCTATGAGTTACTTATGAAATGGAGCAAATGAAAACATGCAAAATGTCAAGCACAGAAAAAAAAATTCCATGGTGCAAAGATTATTCCTGATGACATATAGTAGAAACACCATGGTTTGACTCATTTAAAAACTTGTCTGGACAAAGAAAGAAAAGAAATAACATAAGGAGCATTATTTCTTTAGTGACGAGGTATATGGTTTTATAATCGAGTATTTTGGAAAACTAGGACAAAAAAGGTGTAATTCAGATGCTTGGAGAATGGGCTAACTTTTGGGAAGCTGATGTTATGGAAACAGGGATGTCCAAGGAACCTTGTGTGGAAAGATGTCAGGAATGACTAGAGGATCATGGGAGTTGCCCCCAGTCCCCTGAATAAGATTGCCTTCCCAGTAATCCCACTTCTGGATATATATCCAAAGAACATGAAACCATTATCTCAAAGAGATATCTATACTCCCATGTTCATTGTGGCATTATTCAAAATAGTCAAGGTATGTAAACAATCAAAGTTTAGATAAAAAAGATGTATACACATATATACTCACCCACACAGAAATACTATTCAGCCTTAAAAAAAGGAAATCCTGTTATTTGCAATAACATAGATTAACCTAGAGGGCATTATGTTAAGTGAAATAAGTCAGACAGTGAAAGGAAATGCTGTATGATGTCACTTACTTATGGGATCTATAAAACAGAACTCAGAGAAACAAAGAGTAGAATAGTGGGTACCAGGGTCTGGGGTGGGGGTGGGAAAAAAAGGGAGAGGTGGTAAAAGGGTACAAACTTACAGCTATAAGATGAATAAGGTCTGAGGATCAAATGTATAACATGGGGACCATAGTTGATAGCACTATATCATATGACAAATTTGCTGAGAGAGTAGAACTTAGATGTTCTCACACATACACTTGCAGAAAGGTAAGTAAGTGAGGTGACAGATGTGTTAACTAACTAGATGGGAGAATCCTTTCCCAGTGTATACATATATCAATTCATCATATTGTATACTTCAAATATCTTACAATTTCATCAATTATATTTTAGTATATTTCATGGGTATTCTTTTTATCCATACATAAGCTAGTGGGACTTGGGAGGAAATGGAGGCAGGCATTCCTGTGTGTGTAAGAAAAGCATGTTGATGTATTGATGAAAGGAGAAAGAGAGAGAGAGAGAGAGAGAGGATAGGGAAGGGGAGGGGAGGGAAGAAAGGAAAAGAAAGGGAAGGAAAGGAAGATAAGGAGGGAGGGAGAAAGAAAGAGAAAAATAAAGAAAGAGAAGAAAGAAAAAAGGGAAGGAGGGAGGGAGGAAGGAAGGAAGGAAGGGAACAACTAGTTATTTATTCTTTTAATGCTTGTACTTTAATCTTCAGAATGTTTTCTTTGATTTTTATGTGATTTTGTTCCTTCTCATTCAGGCCTGCAATTGTATATACAGTTAACAGGTATGGGGAGCAGGAGTATCAGAAATATTACCCCTCTAGTCTTCCCTGAAAATTATCTTACTTTGCTTATATAAATGAATGAATGAATGAATGAATGAATGAATGTTAAATTCCCAAGGGAGAGATATGTTATATCCATTCCAGCTTTCTCTGACAAATCTCAGTTTTCCTCAGGGGAACCCAGAAGCTCTCATCATGGAAACCCGACACCCAGACTCTGGCTTGCATATCCTCAGTCATATTTCCTCCCTGAGCATCAGTGCCTCAGCCTACAGCCGGCACCCTTCCCTTTGTATTTCCCTTGCTGTGAAAGCCACACTAGAGCTGACTTTGGCAGTCCTCGCGCAGTAAGTAGTGGTGCTAATGAGGGTCCAGGGTGCAAAATTTACCCATTCCTTGCCCTACAACTGATGTAAGTGAATTGTGAACTAAGAGCATGATTTAGTCCCAAAATACAGGTAGACACATCTTGGAAAGGAATTGTGAACATGTTTCTTTGACTTGTTGGCAATAGCAAGGGCTTCCAAACACATAGTTTTAAAGGGTTATAAAGTGCCTTCAAGGCATTTCTCTTCTTCCTGAAATGTGGTTCTCGTTAATGCTCCTGAATTTGCTGGGGGGAAACACAACCTGTTCCCCTTGGCATACTAATTTCTGTGTCTGCTTCAATTTGACCTGGATGTTTTCCTATAATCCTAAAGGCACCTCTTGTCATGGGCAATAGTGCATCTGTCTCCTCTAGTTGGCAAATGCTGTCGTTCAGTGAGGAGGTAACCCATCCCCTGGCCCTGTTGTGTAAACATACAGGTCTAGAGAGTCTCAGCAGTAGTGGGAAGTGGTAAAGAGTGTGAACCAGGAAGTCAGTCTGGCTAGTTCAAATCCTGGTTCTGCCACTTTCCTGCTAGGCCACCATGGATATGTCCTCTCATCTTTGTGTCTTAATTTTCTATCTGCAAAACAAAGAAAATAGCAGTACATTCCTGGCAAAGTTGCTGTGAGGCTTAAAGGTACAGCCCTGCTATGTCTATGAACTACGTGTGGAGTGTGCCTAGAATATTCCTACAGCAAAACCAGGGAAACATTCCTTAGCCATTTCTCTGAAATATGTCATAGTTTTTGTCCCAGTGCTTCCTATAGCTGGTTCCATTCTGGCCTTCTAGATAAAGCCAAATGATTCTGTTGACCATTCATGGACATGGATCAGGCACTTGAACTAGAGAGCTCACAGCAAGTGCTAAAATTTCCACTGTTGCTCACATATTATCCTTGTTGATGGATAGACAGTTTCAGCAATTTCAAATGTCCTGATCCTTTTCCAACACTTACTTAAAAGTAGATCTAGAATGAAGAAACAAAGAGGCAACAGATGCTGCAGTTGTACATAATAATTTTTTATAAAGCATAGAACATAGATGTCCTAATAAGAAACCGTTCATATATTTCTAGAATATACCAGGGGTACATCTCCTAATTTCAGTCTACCTGCACCACTAATTATAAACTGTGGAAGCTTTTGAACAAGCATCTGTCAAAAGACCATCCATCATCTTTGTAACAATGCCTGTGCTAACTCTAAATGTCTTTTTTAAAATTTATTCACTACACTTTCTTTCCATTAACTTATTAACTGGGGCACTTTGCGCATGAATCATACTATCATACTTATTTTTAGAACTGGAAGAGAGAAAGTTATGTTATTTAAAATATATCAAGGAATATAAATAATTTCTGTTCAAAAATAACACAAATAGCATTTCCCAATACTCTAGGTTTAGAAAGTCATTAAACTTCTTTGCATATGTTTTTAACCTCATATAATCTATTGCTATCTATCAGGTATATTTTCTAGATGATAGTCCTCAAATACTCATATATTATTGGAAGTAAACTTGGAAATCATTTAGTCCTGCCCCCATTTGATGATTAAATCTCAAACCCAATACTTTTTTAGTTGGCTGATGGGCATGCTTTCTGCTCTTAGAAATAAACAGGTTTTTTTTTCAAACTCCCTTAAATCATCTTCTTCCCATATTTACTAAAAGCACTGATGAAGTCAGAGGTCATTGTTCTGGGCAGATGCCTGTGGATTCCTAGGGAGACCAAGTTACAGCTTTGGGGACCCCAGTTCCTTGGGAGTGACGACATTCATTTCCAGTTTCTTCAGCCCCAGGAGTTCAAACAAAAGTCTTCTCCTGAGAAGGAGGCCTTTCTGTTTTGCTTGTAGTCATCTTGAGTAATCCTTGTTAGAGCAGGCCTCTTTCCATGCTTCCTTGTCATCCAGCCTTACTTACCATGTCTTGTGGCTTGGGAATATTCTATATTATATAGTGATTTTTTTCATTTTCTTGGAAGGCTGAGAAATCCCTACGGAATCTGGGGAATTGGACAGAGGAGATATTTCAAAGGCAAATAACCATAGCAAATGTCACTTCTTTAATGTGAATGAGTATTCTTAGATGGTGGTGGGTGCTTGAGAAGTTATTGTCTGTGCTTCTGGTAAAACAGACCTGGGACTCAAAAATCCTTCAGACTTGACTTTGAAGCTGAATTTCTCTATTTCTTAGATGCTTGATCTTGGAAAAATGAGTTTACCCTTTGGTATCTCAGTTTTTCCCCTCATGAAATGGGGACCTGAGTCCTAGTTCAGTGGTGGTTATGAGATTCCACTGAAGTGATGTAAAATATTTGTGCTATTGCTGCATTTGGTCCATAGTTAACATCCTGTCTCCTCAGTATCTATGGAGTGGGCTCATTTTAGAAATCTTAACAAAATCTCAAAATGAATTCTATGATATTTTCCTTGCTTGGACATGAAATGAAAACCGGAAAAACCTCCTTCTCACCCTATGGGTGGGGATCACTCCTCTATATTCTGCTTCTTTTTAATAAGAAAAGGGTGTCTTTAATGTGGTGGGAAAGGCAAGTCCACATG